GGCACAATAACACGACAGGGTCACTTCACACACACTGCATTGTGTCAGCTCCTCATTTCCTACATGTCACATGGGCCCTGATTCCTTTACACGCTTCTCTAATGAGACGTTTCATCGTTAAGCTTCTGCTAAGAGGGAGAAACTCTGGTCAGATGCATGTCTGTCAAACCGATCTTCATCCTGCTGACTGAGGGCGGTGTAGAGGTGGACAACTGTGACAACTGAGTGTGTGTGTGTCGGCTGCAGGACGCTGACCTTTCTCCTACTATCAGAGCAACCATGACATTCCTGTAGCATGACGCTGCTGATACTGGTGACCACTGAACACAAAGTATGGTGCGCACACTGCGCGCTGTAAACACACTCCGGCCTTCTGTGAAAGCAGCAGCCCGTTAAAGGTCGTCGGCTGGAAACTGAGAGGAAAATGCAAACGTAGCAGATGGAAGAGGAAAAACCCTCTGTCAGGATGCTCACTGCACACTTTCCCTGGTCAGAGTCTTCAAATGGAAATGTTGTTGCCCAGGCTTTTAAACTTGAAGCACGTCATTTTCTAGCTAGCTGCTGCTGCTACAAGATTAGCCTCGCGATCACAACCAGCCAAGTGTGACCTGTAACCTGAACCTGAAGTGCAGGTGTGAAAACGCCTTTAAAGTTTCTTGTAAGAAGGGAAAAGGCGGAGCCTCGTAGCTTTAATTGTAATTTACTATTTAAATCTGCTGAAAGCTGAAGGTGGATACGAAATTAACCACGAAGAATGTGAACCTACAATAAAAGCACAAATTCCAAGTTGAGTGTGTGTCTGTGAGAAAGCATGACAGGACTGATAAAACCTCCAAGAATGTCTGAGAACAAAGAATCTGCTCATTAACGTAACCGTCACCGTTCAAACTCTGAAAACCGTATTGGAGAAAGTTCCAGTTCCGATGCTCCGATTTACATTTATTCACATTAACAATGAATTTATTTGTTAGATGAAGTTCTGATGTTAAATTATCAACACAATACTCACATAATCCTCCCTCCTCATCGATTTAATCCTCCCCGTTTAACCGCCACGACACGTTAACCAGTCATTATGTCCCTTTGCCAGTAAAAAGTCATCTTTCCCCAGATTTCACTCATTTTTATGAAAGAAATCTTTGTTCGAGCATCACACTTTCCCTGGAATTAGCAGAGACTCAGCAGCCGTTACACATTAAGCGTAGTTGTGAGTGGGTGAGCTGGCATTATTAGATGGAACAGCAGATGTAGGATTGTAAAAACAGCAGTGATAGACAAGAACTACGGTTCTGGGGGTGTAACAAAGAAACAGTGATTGATTACGTTGTGTGTGTGTGTCATAGAAATCGTGGATGGAAACGCCAAGATGACCCTGGGAATGATCTGGACCATCATCCTCCGCTTCGCCATCCAGGACATCTCTGTAGAAGGTGCAGCTTCCTGTTATTCATATCCATGAAAGCTGTC